TAGAGGCTGTGGTGGATTCCTGTGTAGCTGTATCTTAAATTGAACAGATCATTGTAGGAGGTCAAAGATGTATAAGTAAACTCAAAAGAGGAGTTGAAAAGGGTTTCTTTGTTTGTTTTTTCCCTCCCTCCTCAGACCATATAGGAAGCAAAATTCTAGCAGTCTTTAGGGTAAAGATGCTATACTGTCCTTAGGTGGAGATTTTGGTGATTATGGAGCTGATTGCATGATGTGTTAAGGATAATAGTATAGTTAAAAATTTAACTGCTGATCTGAGTTCTTGTGCAGATGACTTGTGTATATATGCAGTGGCAGTTGAAATATCTACAGCCTACGTACGACATAACTTTGTCCAGTGGTGTGCGCAGATGATGCCCAGTACTGCTTTCTTTGCTTGGAGACCTTGATACCACATTGGAAGTTTCTCTTTGCACACTTGCACTTGAGTAAGGCTGTATCCAAAGCATTGGTGTGTTTAAAGTCACTTACACTTAAGTGGTGTACACCAGTGGCTAGCGTGAATGGTGATGTGTGTTACCAGCTTTCCCGCTTCTTGCCTAACGTTTTGAACAGTGTAGGGTCAGTTGGAATACAAGACTGTTCATGCACAACTGAAAGGAAAGCTGGGATACCTCTGTAACCTGTTAGTGATTATGCCAGTCTTACCCAGTCAAGCAAGTGTCATTGCACAGAAGACGAAGATGTTCCTTTGGTGTGCGGGACTCACTAGGGCTAGGCTGGGTGGACACTGTGACTCGGAACTGGAGTCGTTGGGCAGGTTTTTCAGAACTGAGAAAGGAAGTTGTCTTGCACGTGTCAGCTCGGTATTTATACATATGCTAGTTTCAAAAAGCATGTCTTGAGATGGGAATCTGTTCTGGCTGCTGTCTAATTATTGTGTGAAATATCTTGTGTCCAGACCTGTTGAACTCTCCAAGTAGTGGTAACTGCCTGGCGTAGAACATCTCTAGCCCAATGGGAGTGCATGTATTGATTTATTAAGAGTGAGCTGTTTTCAGAATATGTCATGTTACTGGATACCTTTCCTTATTTTTCTTCCCCTTTTCCTCTACAGCTCTGAAAGTCAGGGGAAGAGGGACGTTGACTGCTTTGCCTGAAATGAGGCAGTGCTTCAATACAAGCTTCCATTCAGGCAAACTTTTTTATTTGGTGGGCTCATATACGAGTTGCCTGGGCACTCTTCTTGCTTCTCTTCTGGAGACGGCAGATGGCTGAAGTGGGAAGCTACTACAGTTAGTCTGACTACTGAGTAAATGTCTATAATCACACTTATGAGCTAGTGCAACTTTCTTGTACAGACAATAACTTATTCCTTCCATACTTGCTTTGCCTTCTTTAAGCTCTGCCAACTGCAGGAAGTTTGTAACTTTTGCTAGAAGGCAATCTGTAGAAGAGACAGAATTTAAAAGCTTAATCCACACTTGGAGTTAAACTAGTTTCAGCACATCAAGTGCAGAGTGGAAATTTAGTTAAACTGGCACAGCTTTGGAGTGGTTAAAACTACAACACTTGGCTCTGGAATGGAAACATAATCAGCATGGAACTCAAAAATGCCTTGCTAATGCGCAGGTCTTACTAAAGCCTTTTTTTTTTTTTTTTTAATTGCTCTCCCCTTTGCCATATCACTTTAGGTAATCCAAAATGGTGGAAGCTGGAGGAGGTGAATCTTGGCATTTGTGACGTTGGTTCAGTCAGTTGCCTTTACCGCACCTATTTTCCTTGCTTTTTCAACATAGGGTCTGAATATTGCTCTCTGCTCTGGCGGTTGTGTCTGTCTGGGCAGCTTTTCAGACACACCAAACTTCTCACTAGGATCCTGTAAAATGGGCAATAGCCACAGCTCCCTGACTGAACTGGGTGCTACTGGTCAGCAGCAGGACAGGTCTGTGTTAGTGTTTGCCATCGCGGTCCTCTGGTTCCAGCCTCGGTGGCCCCTGCGTGAGTGCAGCCATTGATGGGAAATCCATTTGCTTAGAATGGGTGAGAGCTGAGCCAGGCAGTTTCTCTTGAAGTGGCTTAGGAAGAGAAGTGTGGCCTTGAAAGTTGGTGAGGTTTAGGCTATATATTGGAAAGCAGTCCTTGTCATGTCTTTGTTCTTCAAGATGGTGTGGGAGCACAGAGCAGGAGACAAAATTGTCCTTCTCAAAGTGGAGCCACTAATAAAATGATGGTATTAGTGCCTTCGTGTGAGAAGAGGATTTCCCCTGTTGTTGAGAAAATTAGCTGCGTACTTTATTGTGCTGCCTATGTCTTTACCTGCAGCAGAAGCAAAACAGTAATGTGTATCAGCTAGGTGCCTGTTTATGTAGGTGATGGCTCAAGCACTTTTTTTTTCCTGATGGGATTTTGTAATGCTTTTCATCATTTATCTGTATTAGATTTGTTTAAATTTCTCAAGTTCTGTTCCACAAGGTACTTGAACCTCTGGACTACAGGTTATTTTAATTTGAAGTAGAGCCTAAAAAGGGAGGAAACGTTCTGTTACTTGTACTTCAGTTGGAAATCCCTGATCTTCAGCTTCTTAAGTCTTGTGCTCCAGCCAATTCTATTACAATTTACCTAAGCAATGGATTCAATAAATGAGGTAAATATCCTTGACTGAAATTGTACTTGCACTTTACTAAGCCTTTAAAGTGCTACAGATGCTTTTTTGGAGTCCTGCCTTACGGAGCATGCACTCTCAGCTGTCGTTGCTAGAAGCTGAACAACTTGCAGTGTCAGAAAACAGCATTTTAAAATGCTGAGCTTGTTATCTGGGAATAAAACCATTAAGTCCATGAATTTTCCATTGGAAGGAGGAGAAACGATCTGTAAGTGTTATAGTGAATGGCTATTCTTTAGGTACATCACGAAGTATAATGAAAGAAAAAACCTCTTTCACCAGGTCACTGCAGTTGAATGTTTTCCAGGTTGGGTCAACTTAGAACATGTCCGACTACTGTTGTAAGCCTAACGGGGAGTGGTACCGGTGTAGGTTTTCACTGTGCTCTTGTTTGTTTCATTGTTTTGCTTATGCAATAATGAATTGTGTGATAATGCATAATGTGAAACCCAAGATGAGCAAGGCTGAAACTGAAGCTTGTTAGTCCTTGAACTAAAGGTGTGGTGCCGTCCCCCAAGACTGTAATGCTGTCTGGCTAAATGGGTCACGATGTTGATACAGGTTCAGCTGCAGGCAAGTAGATTCCTGAGAATGTATTCGTGATTTCTTCCCCAAGGTCTGCTTTTTTAGTCATTTGGACTCTTGCTTGGCCTTTCTATATGTGGATTTGTTTCTGTAACAAAACTGTTACTCATACTTCCCTAATTGTGGCTGGGTAGGAAGTGGCAAAATGATGCGACACAGACACTTGGCTTTCCCAATAAAATTCACTGGGGCTGAAGGTGCAGCAGCTGGAACTCTGTTTACTACCTGGAGCATCCTGTATGTGCAGTATGTGTTAGTATGCTAACGGTACGGCCCTGCGTACCGTTATTACACTGGAGCTATGGCATCTTGGAAATAAACCTTGAAACCAGGGAAGGGGTAAATGTGTGTGTAGGTACCGTCATCTGTAAATCTAGCTAGAGTGAGGGGCATGGCTGCATCTTTCATTCTTAGCCTGTTACTGCACTGTTGGCTGGCCATTCAGGCTCAAATAGGACCTTCGCTGGCAGCTCCATCACTTGTTGTTACATCCACTTATTTATAGCTAGCAGGCACAGAAATTGAAATGGTTACAGCATTTCCTAGCTGTTATTACTCAAACAGAAATATTCTGGCTGCCGTTTGCATGCCAGCTGTTACGGGTGATCTGCAAGCGGTGACTAATCAAATCGTCTGCAAACACATCTCCTTCTGGTGCCCTGAAGGGAAGTTATTGCTGAATCCCAGTGCCGGACAACACCTGTGTCTGCTGTGAGCTTCACTCAGGTAGAGGTTGGTTGACCTGAGAGTTGTGCCAACACTCTCAGTTCAGTTTTCTGAAACATTAAACAAGCCCTTTTATGTGGGATAAGCAGTGGAAGCACAAACCAAGCTGTTCTGATCTGACACGAGGACAAACGGAAAAATACAGTATATTCTGTAGCCACTTGGAGAGTGAGAGCAGAGACGGATGAATGAGTGGAGAGCTAAATGAGTAGGATGTTGAGGTGTAGGCGTTGAGTTTGAGAAGGAAGAGCTGAGAGATAAAGGACATGGCGCTGAATGTGCTTGCTTAAAAAGTAGTTGGAGAAGCAGATTGTGCATGGAGGAATTGCTATTTAGTGAGCAAACTGAGATGATCAGCTACTGGTGTGGTGAGAGCCCTGGAATAATCAGTCAAACTAATGGCGTGTTGAGTCACTCGGAGCTTCTCAGCATGTGGAAAAGAATCCTGGAAAGACTTGCAGCTTGACACAGATCCCAGTCACCCACGGGTGAAGAAGTTTAAGCTCTAGCAGCCCAGCTTGCAACTGATGGCTGCATTGGTCACTCACGCTTGCTGCTGGTAAGCACAATGGTCACGGGGATCTGAAATCTACTGAAGAGTCACTAACACAGACCTGTTGCCCATGTCCTAAAATGTTTGTTTTATTGGGTGCTTACAGGCTTTAAGATACTTTTTATTTTAATATATATGTAAAACTAAGTTGAGAGCTGGTTTAGTAGTCATAACTGAGCTTTTTTAGTTGGATGTCATAGAAATCTCTCTTAGTCTGCAAAGCTTCTGAAGAAGTGTAGTGGGCCAGAGGACTGGCAGGAGAAGGGGTGCTGAACATGTAGTTCTTAAAAGAAATGTTGGGCTTATAACCCCTTCTCTTCCTCTCCTTTCTTACATATGAGAAGACTTTAGTGCAAGCTCCCAAAGAGATTTAATAAGCTGTACACCTATTCCAGAAACTTTGATGTGTCTCTTGGCTGGAATGAGTACTTCAATGGCCTGCTGTTGAACACTCATGGCAGTTATTTCTGTGAAGCAACTAAAGTATGTCTTTTTCTATTTTTTTTTTTCCAGTGGTCACAGGAGCTACTGATGGGATTGGAAAAGCCTATGCAGAAGAGGTAAGATTTCTTATCACTTGGAAGTGTATCTTGATCCTTGGCAAGATGTCATGCTGTCTCAATTCTGTCAAACAGCAGGTCATATCTCCTCACCTTGTCTTAACATAGGTATCTGTGGAGAAGGAGGTCTTTTGCCTTGCCTCCCTCAGGTGACCAGCCAAATGTCGTATCCCCTTTTGTTTCCTTTATTTGTGAATTCTATTTTCAGCCCTTACCTTGTCCTTCAGTTTTTGTTTTTAACTTTTTTAGTTTTTACAATTATTCTAACTTTCTCAACCCTTGGTATTTCCCGTTGGTATTTCCAGGCACTGACTAAATGGCATTTCTAGCTGCCTGCAGTGTGTTCCAGTTATTCCCTATAGTTTGTGAAGTCTCTGAAGCTGGGTTTTACCTCTATCTCTTACTGTACTTTTGCTCTTGGTGGATATGTGGACTGCAAATATGGTACTGGAATGTATTGTTTAAGACAGAAAGTTCCTGTTAGTATGGGGCAATTTAGCCTAGAAGCCTAGAGAACATCATGACAAATAGTGCTGACTACAACAATTTACAGCAAAAATAACTTTCAACTCCAGCATCAGTACCAAAGTGAGCCTGTCTGTACTCATTTCGGTGTTCTTTGACATAGCAGCATGACTTTTGTGTGAGGAGATCAGCAGTGAAAGATTCCCTTTTTCTGGAATTTTTTATTTTGCAGAGCCCACAGGGAAAGTCGTGTTCTTCTTTATGGGTAGTCCTCACCTTTCAGATTTCTCTTCCATCCCTGTGTGCCCTGTCACCTGCAGCCCTAGCCCCCAGATTCCCTTCTGATTTGCAAAAGGTAGTGCCTAGTCCTACTGTGTCAAGACAGGGGGAGTTGGCTGCAGAGGGAATTAAGCCTCATGCCAGTAGTGCCTGATTCTGGCATAGAGCTGATATCTTGTACATGCCAAATATCCCAGTGAAATTTTTATTATTGTTATGTATTTATTTAGAATAAAACACATATCCACCCTTAGACAGTTTACATGGGTGAAGAATACTTGATGACGTCAAGGGTGAATGCAGGGTGAAATGTGGAATACCTGAAAAGGCTTCTCAGTCTTTCAATTAACTCTAGAGATGTCTTCATAAGACTGCCAGTGGAGGCTTGACTTTCTACTAGAAATTCCCATCATGTTACTATAAGTTCTACTGGCATGCAGCTGCATACAGCTGCCTGGGCACTGATGGCTATGATTATAATCATTCAGATTACTTCCTTTGCCTTGGAGGAGTTTGTAAGAAATGTAAAGGTGTGTTGAGAAACGCCTCTTCGGAAGTTTGACGTGGTCACCAGTAAGTGATGGAAGAATGTTTGTGGATTCTCTGGTTATACTCTGCTCTGTTGGTTACTTTCCTTCTTTTCGAAGCAAAGAACTGTTTTTACGCTTTTCACGCTTGCAGTATTAAGATCTTTATTCCTTGCTCAGCACTGATGTCCTTTTCATCACTAGACCACCCCTTCACAAAAGGTAGTGCTGTAGTAAATGCAAGTTTTGTTCTCTGCTTGGGTAATGCTCACCCAGTCTCTGATTCCAAAGCAGCTCACTTTCTTTTTATCCTTTTTTTTTTTTTTTAAAGGATTTGGTGGGAAAGGATATGGTCGGGAGTTGCTATTTGTTGCCCCTTTTTTGCAGCCTGCTGTTTGCAAAACAGGAGTTAATCTCAGGTGTATTTGTATGCTAATGATAAACTAGAGGTTGTGATCCCATTGTGTACTCTGCAATACTCTGCTATGCATGTCTGCTTAGTATTGCTTGTTGTAGATCCTCTTGCTATACCTACTCTGACAAGAGCTTTAACTCTGCTTCGGTGGGCTGTCAATGACATTCCTTTCCATCTTGCAGAGGAAGGGCTTTAACAGCAGCTGTGTTTTGCTGCCAAAGTGGAAAAAGTGGTAGTTAATAACATGGGATTTAAGTAAAGTAGACACCTACGTCCACCAACTGCATTAGAATGGTAGTTCTCGTTTGCATCAATCCTTAGGCTACAAGAGCATCTTCCCAATGTTTTCTGTTCTAGGTGGGTTTTTGTGATTAGTTTTTAGGGTCTTCTTATTCAGCCTTTTCACAGAATCACAGAATGGTAGGGGTTGGAAGGGACCTCTGTGGGTCATCTAGTCCAACCCTCCTGCCAAAGCAGGGTCACTTACAGCAGGCTGCACAGGACCTTGTCCAGGCGGGTCTTGAACATCTCCAGAGAAGGAGACTCCACAACCTCCCTGGGCAGCCTGTTCCAGTGCTCCGTCACCCTCAGAGGAAAGAAGTTCTTCCTCATGTTCAGACGGAACTTCCTGTGCCTCAGTTTGTGCCCATTGCCCCTTATCCTGTCTCTGGGCACTACTGAAAAGAGCTTGGCCCCATCCTCCTGACACTCACCCTTCAGATATTTATAAGCATTTATTTGGTCCCCTCACAGCCTTCTCTTCTTCAGACTGAACAAGCCCAGCTCCCTCAGCCTCTCCTCGTAGGGGAGATGCTTCAGT